TTGTTCAGCTGGGCTAAATATGGCGGTCTGATATACAGATCATTAGTCCAAATTTACCTGGAAACTTGAAATCGCACCTTACCAAGTCAAGTAAGTCAATAAATATCACGTTTTCAATCTCGAAGCGACTATTTAAGTTGTCTCGGGATAGTTTCAGAGTTCAGACAAAGATGATTCAGTCATGTAAGAGTCAAGTCATGGTTATTCAGTCATGAGAATATTCAGGCCAGTCATGTCAAGATTGAGAATAGTCTGTCTAATAAGACAAGACTTATTCATCATTTTCAGTATGTCAGCGCCTCGAGTCTCAAATTCTGAAGAATCTGAGAAATCGGGGGAAATATTCATTCATGATGAACTTCTTCTTGAGGTTATGTTTAACCTCGGAGGGAGTAAAAGTTGCAGGTACCACAGGTTGACATACGCCGCGACGAAGAAGAGCCAATCGATAGCAACAGATCGTGCCCTGATGACGAACCGATGCTTTCCACCCCAAGGAGGCCATGCTTGAATCACAGTACACTGGGAGATTACAGAGAGTTAGTATTAAAAAGTACATTGAGGTTACTAGCTTGAGGTATAGATACGATCAGATTACGTCGACGACGCAGGCGCAATGTTCGCCAGGTGCTGTATGCAGGCGTGCCGCACTCAGTTTATGAGGAGCAGGTGTGCCGCAATACAATGTGCCGCGAACGATGTGCCGCGTTGTCGAGCAGACATTCATAAAAGGTAATGACCAATATAGCTAGTTATCCTCATTTGTGCATATGTGAATCTCTGGAATATTCCATGTGTACCAACGACAAGAATCTTCACCACCAGCATTCTGATTGTAGATCAGCCAGCAGCCAGGAGATGATGACCAGTACATTTCAGAGTTTCGTTTTGAAATCATGTCTTATCAGTGGAACACTTTCTTTCAGAAAAGTGTCCATTCTCAGTCAGTAGTATTCTACAATTCACTTAATTGTGAATTGATGTATCTTCAGTTCAGATCAAGTCTCTTATTCAGTATTAAATTACTGGATTCTCAAGTCATGCAATCAGTAAGTATAAGCTTTAAGTTAAGCTTGTACATTCCAGTTTTACTATTTCCGAGGACGGAAATATTTTAAGGGGGGTGGATTGTAACGCCCCGTATTTTATTAATAAAGGAAATACTAGCTTTTAATTTTAAGCTAGCCTTTGTTAATAAATAATCATGTTCATGTTCAAGTTCAAGTGATTCAGCCAGTTAAATTCCAAGTTCGACTATTAGTCGATAAATTATTCGGTTAATTATTTCGTAGCCGGATAAGTTTCCAGATTTTAATTCCGATTCGCTTCTTTATTTAAGGAGTTCGGAATTAATAAGTTAAGTTGACGAATTATTCGGAATATCAATATTCAGATTAATCGTCCAAGTCTAGAAAGTTCGAATTAATTTTCGAATGTCACATTTATGTTCGGAATAATTTTCCGATAATTAAAGTTTCTTACGTCAAGTTCAGTATCCTATACAGCGACGTGTACCCATTGGTACACCATCCTTATTAATTAAGTAATGGTCATTAACCCTTGATTAATTAACTTAATCATGTTTAAGCTAATTAATCATGATTAACTTAAAGATAATCATGATTAGCTTAATATTAATGAAGATTAATTAACATTAATGAGGATTAGTTAAGGAATAATCATGTTTAAGGTTAATTATGCTTATGTTAAGCAAAGCATAATTAAGTTATGCTTTGTTCATCCTAAGGCATGTTAGCACCAAAGCGTGCTTAATGAGCACCTAACCATGTTTAGAGCACTCTTAATGGCCGTAGGTTTGAGAACAAGATTCACGTGAGGCTCATGATGGCTTTTGTACACATGGTAGCATGTAGTGCAATTGTACTATGACTAAGCAAAGACTTTGATGACTAAGTATCCAAGTGGCCACATAAGGCCTTGTGCACGCAACAATTGGTGCAAGCCTATTGGCTACACCTTGCTATCATTTTCCCTTAGTATAGTACTCTTTTAAACCGTGTGTTCAGCAGCAAGTTGGGAAAATAAAATTCAGTTTACCTTAAGTTATATTACTAGCACAAAAATAAGTAAGATTAATCTATGTCACGCATACACGCGCAAGCCTTACACGGATGCTTAATCATGCGAGTCTTTGCATAATTGATCGAGAATACATAGAGGTAACTTTATCCTCAACATCTATTCATGTTATTTAGATCAGGCTTTGATTAAATGTTCAGTTCATGTCCCTAAATTCATGTTAAATGCTAAGGGGTACTCGGTTTAGGCCATGTTGGTCCTTACCGAGTTAAGTTGAGATTTATCCGGCAACTCCTGAGTGTTTATTGTTTATTTAGTCATTATTCAGTATATTATGTTCAGGTGACTCATGTTTGCTGAGGAAATTACTGGTTTGGCCGATAAATTGGCTTAAGGACATGGGCTGCACACATAGCGCCGCCCGTGAGCCAGCAAACATGATATCAAGTTATTTTTCAGTAGGATCATATTTGCCGAGTAACTTGTGTTTATTTAACCATTATATAACATATTATGATCAGTCTTTTGTGGTTGTTCGAGAAAAATTCATGTTTACTCGGGGGTTTTGGCTTAACGCTGAACATGTGCACGCGGGGTGCACACCTCGATGCTATGTTAGTTCACTCAGCGAAGTTTATGGTATTTCAACAAGTTTAGCATATATTATCATGTCATAAGTTATGTTTATTCATGTTTGGGTTGCCGGAAGAAGTTGCCGGACGGCCGGCGAAAGGCCGACCGTAGTGTCTGTCCGCGCAAGTGTGCGCACAGCACGCCGGCAGTCATAGCGGATATACTGGCAGCACTAGCACGCCAGTAGGGCGAACGCATGACCAGTACTTCGCAGTCAAGTCTTAGTAATGTATGTAGGTGTGCAGTGCACGCCCAGCAGTGTGTACTACACCACCGTACGCACGCCAGCGCGCCTGACAGCGCGCCAGCTTGTCAGTACGGCCTCAGCCAGTGCCCGACAAGCAGGGTTGAGGGCCTAATTGCGCCAACACTCGCAAGTGGTGTTGCCCGCGTATCCAGTAGCCAGTTGCGGCGCCCAACAGCGCCCGTCTGTGATGGCACATGCCAGTGCTGTAACCAGCAAGTACGGCAGTGGCCAGCCGTGCATGGTCAGCATCTAGTAGCCAGCGGCCGTGCATAGCAGCACGTCGATAGCCTTCCCCAGCACATGCATGGTGCCAGTAGCACCTGCCAGAGCACGGGACAAGCCAGCCAGCGCCAGCAGCGCCGGCAGTGCACAGACCGTGCCCAGTGAGTGAGTGACCGAGCCAATGGTTCGGTCAGACCGCTCCAGACCGAGAGCTAACTGGTTTAGACCGGTTCAGCATGTGCTTAGTATTTTCAGCCCCGGTTTATGTTCAAATATTATTTTAGCCCCGGTTCACATTTTAAGTGCCATTTCAGTTAAATTTTCGGGATTAATTCAATTCAGTAAATTCATGTCCGATCAGTTCATGTCAGTTCAGTTCCGGTTATTCCGGTTAAGTCTAAATATCATGTCAGGTTCAGTAGAGCATATTAACGAAATTAATCAGTTAAGTTAACAGTCTGAGCATAGTCATTAGTAATTGTTTATATTATTTTCAGTTTGATCAGGCATCAGCACTACCGTTCAGTTCAGCAGTTCAGGTGGGGACTCAGACTACGTACTACATTGATTATAATTACAGTACCATGCTTGAGGTATGTATTTCATGTGAGGTATCCGCTCGGAATGGTCGCCGGTCCATTCTGAGTTCTAGTGGCCCTAGTCTGCCCACTAGAGTGTGCACATGGTGTCCGACATTAGTTTTGCCGGCAGATGAGGTAACGGTCAGGGTCACGTTGCGTGACAATATCAGATTCATGTTCATGTTATTACCGGCTTGAGGTTGAGGTTATGTATATACTGATATCATGATGTTGTTATTATTTTCAATGTTTACATTAGTATGAGTTTCCACGGAGCACAGTGCCATAGTGCTCATTTCCCACTTTTATCATATTTTTCAGGTCAGGATGTCGGGCAAGGAGCGTGACGTGACGAAGGCTTCAGGACATTTATGTTTTGACTGTATATTTATTATGATGATTTACGCTTCCGCGTACGATGTTTTTGATGACTTTTGACGAACTTATATTTTGACGGACTTTTGGAAAATTTTATACTTTTAGTAACCGTATGATTTTATCAAAAATTAAAATAACGGTTTTTCAAATTAAGTCACGATTTTAAGGTAGTACCCCGAATCAGTTTTCGCAAAGTAAAAGGTTTTATTTTTAAATAACTTTGCGAAATTTTCGCACTCTGATTTTAACGATAAGGAGGGGTGTTACATCATTTCTATTTGTAGCAAATCATAGAAGCCGAGACGAAGTGTTTGAGAAAGAAATTGGTGAATTAAAGAGAAACACTAGTCTCAAAAAAATCCAATCATTTTTTAACTCAATCATTGTTTTAAACTCAACTTTAACTCAACTCCACTATCATCAATATTTATTATAATTAAATATATCAACCAATCATTTATACACATCACATCAATCTTAATTCACTATTCATCCACTCACATAATTTTAATTAACCATCACTTCAAATCATCCCTCTCATACTTTTATATAAAATCTAACTTTAATAATTATATTTTAAATATTATTTTAATATACCCACTAACAACTAACCATACCACCTACAAATTAAAAAATCCAAATAAATCCAAAAAATTTTATATCAAGCATTGGTTCTATAAATAGGGGCCTTAGTTTACAAATTTTAGTCTGACAAAAAACAAATAGAAATAGAAGTGCTATGCATTAAAAAGCTTGCCTCCCACTTTACAAATTCTATAAACTATAACAATCCAATTCCAATTAAAGCTATATATATTCCTTACACTCACAAATCATAATATATATATATATTCTTTATACCAACATAAACATACAATAGTAATTGTGATGAATTATAATTAATTGGTTACGCGCTTAAGGATTGCCAGGATCATTATGGTTCTATCGTTGTTCGGGTTGATAAAAACCGGTGAAGCAACAAGTTTTTTTGCATAAAGATCGAACAACTCATCTATGATCCCACCTCCAAAGTGGTCTGTCATCATTCTTTCATGGACGGCCCGGAAAAAGGCTGCCCGGGATTCTACCCCCGACAAGCTGTACTTTCCCGGGTTGTCCAAAATCTCCACTCTTTCAACTGCGAAACTTCGATTCCTTTTTAGTATGTCCTTTAACTGTTGTGGGGTGGTGAAGTAGAATGGGAGGTTGAAAGAATCTACTTTTTCTTCACTGAATCTTCCCTGCAATGTACGACGTTTGATTTTCAAGTACTACTTTACAATAAAACACACATGATTTTGCACATTTAGTTTAAGAGAATCACTATAGTCCCGTCACAGAATGAGATTTTGTGGTTATTATTAGCCTTTTGGTATACATATAAGTTAGTAGATTAGTGTAGGGTAGATAATCTATGGTTAAAACACACTGACGTAATCATTTCGTGAAGAGCATGTAGTCATTTCCTAAAAAGAAATAGTGGTGAATGTAATAACTAACCTTTTTGGCCATGTCGACAAGGCAAGATCCCATAAGATTGAGATCGGAAGGAATAGTGTATTCTTTGTCGGGGTCCCAATACTCGGGCACACCGGGCACCAATAGGGCCAGCAACCCTCCATGCACCATCTCAACTGCCCTAGACTCCAAAAACAATCCGACATCTTTTGTGTATTGATCCAAATAAGCACCACAAACATCCTCTCTATCCTTTGCGTAAAAAATCCGGCCTTTGTTTTTCACTGCCTTTGGGACCGCAGTAAGCCACTGTAGGGACCACGACGAGTAACCAAAGTGGAGGGACGATTCTGGCAATAGACGGCAGTGAAAGTCACCGGGGAGCCCCACAGCACTGTACAACCTCTCAGGTGGGAGGGACTTGAAAAGGGTGTTGAAGTCGTTGGTGGTGACGTCGTTGAAGAAGACGTACATGTCAGGGGTAATTTTGGTATTTCGCGCAATGGCCGAGGAAATGAACTGCATGACGGGAAATGAGTTGTGTCCTGTAGAGCACCCAAAGTCGGCCATGTTGAAAGAGGCGTTGGGTTTGGCATCTAGCTTTGCGGCGATCTCTTGCTCGATGATACGTTTTGCAATGTCCACCACTCCTCTCTGATAATTTTTTTTCCTTTTAGAGTTTAGTTTTTAAATTATACTTCATAATAAATCAAGCAAAACCTCAGTAGTTTAACGAGGAGTTAAATTAATTACCTGGTAGGAGGAGTTTCGAGCATAGCTAAGAGGTCCGTCGCCAGCGTTCATGGCGTACATTGCTATCTTACTTCTCATCATCGAAGCCTCATTCTGGACAGCATCCACGGAATAATTATCCATGTTATTAATAATGTTCAACTGAATCTCAAAACTAACCACATATTTATATACTAGTACAGTAGGTGTAGGACAACTACTAAACTCCTATTTGTATAACCAAAAACGTGTTTCTCCTGTTTAATTTAAGTGATGATACATTGGTCAATCTGAGAACCACATAATTTTAGCAGTGGGACAAAGTACTAAACTCAATTTTGTCTAATCAACAGGACTTTCTTATGTTTAATTTCCATAATTAATTGCTGCACATATCTATATCCTTAATTAGGTCGGCAAAACTGCATATTAAAAGGATAAAGAAAAAAAAAAAGAAAAAACTAATCAAGAGTTTCTTTTGTTTAATTTCCATGATTATTTGGGATAATTGCTGCATATATCTATATTCCTTTGGGTCGGCAAAACTACATATCTATATTCTATATATAAAGAAGTTGTTGAAAAAATACATTAATAGAAAGGTTGACCAAAAAAAAATATAATGTTTGACTTTCTATCAGTAGAAATTTCTTTAACACATGATTTTTTAGTAACAAAATGTGAATCTCATTTTTTTGTAACAGATTTGGGGATTCTTATGGCAAAATTTGGATCACATTTTTTTCTTATCAATTTTTTATTTTCTATTTCTACAAAAATTTGAATCCTATTTATTTTTTGTGACAAATTTGGAGATTTTTATGCAAAAAATGTGCTAATTATTTATGAAAATAATTCAAAACAAAAATTAATATAAAAATTGTGCAAATTGTCTACAAATTTAGAAAACAAATAGTTGAATA